GCTAAATTTTATAATATCCATGATAAAATAGCTGGCATTACGATGGACAACGCTGCTGCTAATATTAAATTTACTTCTGAACTCAGCAAAATTTTAAAAAATGATAAAATTGATTTCGATCCAGATGATCAACACTTCCGATGCCTCGCCCACGTCCTTAATTTATCGGTGCAAGACATTCTAAAATTAATGGAAGTTGAATGTTGTGATGGGGAAAATTGTTCAGACAAAGAAGAAGAAGAAGAAGAAGAAGAAAAAGAAGAAGAAGTAGATGATGATGATGACTTAAACAATATACCAGATTATGAAATAGAGGATTTTGAATCGAAACAAAAGTTCATTTCTAACGTTGTCAATAAAATACGTAAATTGCTAAAAAAAATAAGAAATTCAGAAAAGATTTCTTTAAGACTTGAAGCATGTTGCAAAGTTTTNATTTGAAAATAATTGTTTTTTTTTACTACTAAAAATAAATCAAATCCTAAATCTTATATATTTCTCGATATAATATCGATTATCGTATCGATATCGTATCGACTTCGATATACAATACAATAAATTTAAAAAAAAATATCGTCGATTTCGATACGATACGATACAACAATTTAAAGTTCGATACGATACCGATATTTAAGTAAATATCGATATTGTATCGTATCGTGAAGCCCTAGCTCCTACACAGTCGTTGGGAATATCCAGCAGTAGATTGGCCGCTTACAATAAATATCGTAATATGCATAATCGTCAAATGTACGATTTCATTATACGTGTACAATCTGCGCGAAGTATCTTATAGATTTTTTGAGAGCCGCCGGCTGATCGACGAAACAACAAAAAAAACCAAGAAATAGTCAGTAATCCCTCCTCGCGGCACACGTTTATTTCAACGATTCGAGAAATCCTTTGGCATGAAATTCCCGAACGAAAGCAGAAGAACTGCTCCGTGTTGCATGTGCATCGACGTATAATCCTGCAATACGAGCGTTCAGACTTACTTTCAACCATCCTACCAACCTATAAGTCTCATTCCCTGCATCCCTTGCATAGAAAAGAGAGAAAGAGAGAGAGAGGAGAAAAAAAATTGCGCACCAGCTCTACGCTCGGTGGCATAGCATCAAACCTATAAGTTGCAGTGGCAATACTACTTCTACTACTACTACTACTTCTACTACTAGCACTACTATACTACTGTGCAGCGCAGAAAAGCGACTCTCTCGACCCATATCGCGATTTCCCCATCACCTGCCACGGGCGCGCGCTCACATGCATACACACGCACGCGCTGCATACGTGTATACCGAGTAAGTGCACATTCCAATTACATGGATACGAAAAAGAGAAAGAGAAAGACAGAGAGAAAACTACATATATACACACATGCACGTATACGAGCCGGTGCACAGCCTCGGCTCTCGGGCGGCGGCTCATTTGAATTCGCAATGGCCTGAATCGCACGGCGAAATCACGGCTATTGGGTATTGAATTTATCCACGCCACGACTGTATATTATAAAGGTGTATATATATTTGCACGTACTAAGTTGGAAGGTACGTGTGGCACCTGCTGCAGTGCTTTATACAGTGTCTGCCGCGTACACACATATATGTGCAGTTGTGCTACTCCTGTATGTAAGTCTTATATACACCTCGCGCGCGTTACAAGTGGGTACGGTCGCACCGAGCTGCAGTCAATTTTTCAAAGTCTCGAGCCGCGCCGCGCAAAAATGCGAATCGTTGCTGGAAGAAAAAAAGAGACCCCCTCGCGCGAGATCGACAAAGTTCGAGTCCTATACAACTGTGTTTTAGGAGTATTGTGACGATGTCACTGGGCGGCATTTGATGCAAATTAAGCGAACGNCGATACGATACCGATATTTAAGTAAATATCGATATTGTATCGTATCGTGAAGCCCATTCCGTACGATCGGAAATGGGGTTTGTCACGCTGGGCCCGAGAAACTCGCAGGTCGGACGAAAAAGAGACCCCCGTCGTAAACGAGCTGCAGAGCCCGCGTGCGGCCTGATTTATTGCGCTCGCCGTACATACGACGATATCATAATACCATTAATTCTTCGTCAAATTCTCTGCCGACTGAATCACATGCGTAGATGCGTTTGTGTGAGTGTGTGTGTGTAGTGCCGCACACATATAAACATACGTGCGCACAGCGCGAATACGGTATAAATCAAGCGGCGACTAATGCGTGCAAGCAGAGGAGCATCGCGTATGTTTATAAGAAGCATATATACATGAGCTGCTGCTCTTATCTGCCGAGAGAGAAGAGAATGAGAAGTAGGTGCGCGCAGTGTGGAAGAAGAAACCCGGCAGCAGCAGCCGCGGGGGCAGGTGGATCTCTTGCTGATCTGACTGCTTGGCCGCTTGCCTGCCCGCCGCCGCCGCCGCCGTCGCTGACGTCGCAATGATCGAAAGAATTCAGAGAATGCCCAAAAGAGAATGATGGATATCTGAGGTTTCGAAAGACTTCCACCGTCGTTGCAAGCGCGCATGCATAACTCTCGTTTTCTTCGTTTGTTCTTTTTTTTTTTCAATCTTATTTTCTCTCTTGGAACTGCGTCGCTCCAAAGGGTTGCAGCAACGATCATATGGGTTGTTCGAAATCGTATTGTAATATAGAGCTAACTCTCGCTAATATGACAGCTGTACTAATGCCTCATCAAGGGTAACAATAATTGATGATTTTTTTATGAGCCTACCTTACAACGGGCCATTGTCTATCATTATTCAATGGAAGAATGTATCCAAAATCAAGAGCCAGCGCGAGCTGTGATCCTAGGCGAGCACGCGCACATATCGACACCTCCGCGGGTCATCTCTTATGGGAAAATACGGGGAAGAGAGGCGCACCGGATGATCGAGCGAGTGTTGTTTTTTCAAACGATTTAGAGTTTAACTCTCTCGAGCTCTACGCTAATTTGTCTAATTTCTTTTTATTATGCTATTATGTCCGCTTGACATGGTATCTTTTTTGTTCGAGATTTTCTCATCGTAACAAACTCTAGTTGCTCAGCTGTAGTCTACATCAACGAAAATTTTCATGCAACAATAGTTGTGCTTTTTGCGACGTACGCAAGGTTCAAATACTATCATTATAACTTCAGTTATTAATCATTATTGTGTAAGTATTTTAAAATCAGTTCAAGTCATATTTCAACGATTTTTTCCTGCTCCAAATCATGTCAAGGGTTAAATGTTATATCATTATCAGCAGGTAATGTTATCAGTATCAATTAAAATGCTAATTTCTTTGATTCATCGACATAAATGCGTGAATTAAATTTCAATAAATTTAATATCTTGATTCATTCAAAATAATCATTTAATGAAAAGATACACAATTTGATCAATACTGATGTTCTATTTCAATAGTTCATTACATAATCAATGATAACATTAAATATTGTAATTTAAAATGAAGAATTTTATCAGTTTTATGATTTAATTCGTCAATAACTATTATTTCTTGAACATTCATTGAACTAAAAGAAAAATTCGTCATTTTTCATGATTATCTTACATAGATGATTCGAAGCGACGGTAACTGACAGATTTATGCAGCTTAGAAAAAATCTTATTATTCGGGGTCTGATTTTAGTTTTTTGATCAGTAAGATTTTCATTCTTCTTTTTTAGTAAATTTACTCGTAAAAATATACAAATAGAATTATAAATAGATCTTTACAAACAAACGATTACAAACATCTTCTATCACGGCAATAAATTAAAAACTCTGAGATATTCTTAGGCACCCATACCGGCCATGCTCAAAGGACACACATGAAGTTGCAATGTCTCTTCCCACCGATTGAGGGGAAAAAAACAAGGTGAAGCTTTGATTAACGCGAGTAAAGGGCCCATTAAAGAATCTGTATATCTAAAACATGTATAATATACGCACCGCCCATGCACCACGCAGTTTTTTTAATGGAACAAATTCACGGCAAGCAAAGAGTCTCGCGAAACAGACCACGAATGTGTATAAAATAAAAATGAAAAACAAAAAAATTCGTCGAGCACACACTAACACAAACTCTTTGCGCTTGCGGGCCTGACAAAGCAAAGGAAGTCGCACATGTTTTTCGGGAGCAAAGACAGATTATAATACATGTATATTTATATTTTTGTTTTATCCGCGAAAAACGTTTTGATCTGACGCCGCGCGTGCAGCGTTCGGGGCTCGAGTCCGCGTGCCGTGTTTGCAGAGTAAAATTACGAAAAAATATCCGAACGATGTTTAAACAAAATTCGCCAATGTTCTTGGCCAATGCGCGTGCTTCTTTTCTCGCGGAGAATGTGAACATCCGATGTGTTTTCGGAAAATGGACGAGGTTAAAAAGCTCGAAAGAATTCGCGCGAGATAAATAAATCAGCGAGAAAAAAGATTGATGTCTACAGGTCTATCTGCAAATAACATAGATTAGTGGATGGTTTTTAAATACATCAACATTGAGAGGTTTGCTTACACTTAAGCTCTAAGTCGCTGTGAATCGAATGAATCTTCTAAGATCGACTAGCTGCTGTTGCCGTCGCCGCACGATTACAAATTAGTCATGTTCGCGATACGGGTGAAAATTAGAATTTTATTACTTACATATTGAACTTGAATTTGTGTAAAGCAATGATAGGATATTGTAATATCAATGTTGGTGACTAAAAGAAGTCGAGTATACTATGCGGGCTACGAGGTATAACCAATAATATTCAATTCTGACAATTCAATTTAGATTTATTTATTTTTTAAGATTTAAACTTGGAGTCAAGACATAACATTTACGTTTTACAGCCAAGAAACTTGTGTTATTAATATTTGAAAAAGTTTTAGAGTAAAAGTGGATATAGTAGGACTTTGACCCGTGCTAAATTCCAGATCAGCTGAGGGTTAATGCGCACAACACCAAACCAATCAGTATTTAAGCCATTAAATAGTAATGTTAAAGATATATCGATTGAAATAATTAATTATAATGACGAGTGCACACGTACTTTGTCCAATGTGAACCCTCTTCATCCAGGGATAAATTTGTGTCTGAGTCCCGGAGCCCTTTCCTTGATTCGACGAGTTGTTGCCCGTACTGCTGGTACTGCTGGTCGAGGAGGCCGGTGACGAGGCCGACGAAGCCGTTGTGAGTGTGCTACCAGCCTCGGCGCTTCGACCGCTGCCACTCGGTGGCGACGAGGCCGAGGCAGCGACCGAGGACCTCGACGATCCGCCCACGGCCGCGCTCATCTGTCCGCTGGCGCCGGCCTTGCTCGTTCCGGGTGCTCCCAGGCCCGGTGCCGGGCTGTTCCTCGCGTTCGACGTCGACAGGTCCTGCGGCGACGAGACGTTCGTCGACGAGGGCGTGTCGACGCTGTACTTGCAGCCCGAGGCAGCGGCGGCCGCCACAGCAGCGGCCTGCAACAGAGGACTCGTCGGGTCTGCGTGAAGCTGCTGCTGCTGCTGCTGCTGTTGGAGGTGTTGATGGTGTTGCTGGCTCTGCTGGTGCTGCATGGCCGCCGCGTGCTGCTGCTGGGACGTCGCGGTCGCAGTGAGCCTCGGCTGCGGCTGGAGCTGTGTGTAATCGATCATACCGGTCGGGGCCGTGTGCTGCATGCCCGCCGAGGCCGGGGTCGCGTACGGGTGCTGGGGGTAGTGCTGCTGCGGCGAGTAGCACGGGGTCGGGTAGCCCGCCGCGGCCGGGTTCGGGTTGTAGTAGTCCGCGCTCGTCGGCGAGGCAGCTTGCAAGGGCTCACCCGGCGAGTTGGCCGTGGCTCGCGGAACTCCCTGCTGCTGCTGCTGCTGTTGCTGCTGTGCTTGCGCCTGGGCTTGAGCCGAGGCGTAGCACGAGGCCAGCGAGTTGACGAACTGATAAGAACTCATGGTTCTCGTGGTTCTTAGGTAGTCTTCAATTGTGGCGAGTCACTTGCAATCCGTTGAAAAGCTTCAACGTTGCGCACGGTACACACAAATGCAGTCACTACACGGACTAGAGGCTGAACTTCGGCTGCTATATCAGCAGTAATGTCATCTTGGCGGATTTAGATTCGTCGCGCTGTTAATGCGGCTAAGAGCATCTCCTCGCGCACTCGTGTACGAACAAAAAGTTTCTGTTTCAATGACAGTTTATTTTATTTATTTATTTTTTTTTTTTTATAACAAGCCGATAATTGCCTCCGAATGAAGCTTAGTGGAGCCCACGTGCTTCGTAGGGCTTATAAAACCTCGTCTCGCTTATTCGACCTCGTGAAAAAATTCGAGGAGAGAATATAGGCAATTGCTGAAAGGCGAGAGAGGCCACACGAGAGAGTTGAGCGTGCAGAAAGAGGGGGCATCAGCAGGCCCTATCCTATCGAGTCTCCCCCATTCGCACGAGCTAATGCCCGAGCTGCTTCGAGACTTGGTTTTTTGTTTTGCTTTTTATTTTTTCGCAATTCCTTTTTTGCACGCCTGCAGTGCTGTTCTCTCTGCGAATTCGAAAATTCACCCAATCAAAGAACAGTTCGCTCTTGTATCCCGATCACTTCGATTCATCCATCTAGCACAAAATACATGATATAAACACAGGGTTTCTTTTGCACGAGCACCTTCACACTTCACACACTTTCGAGTATCCGTATTTTGCAGATATATGAAAATCAATGGAAAATCAGCTGGGCAAAAGTCGTGTTTCACCGCGAACGAAATATATTTTATCGCAGGCAAAAAACTATATAACGATTCGATCGCAATATGTCGTAACAATGATATTCGAAAATATCGTCCGCGTCCGACTGGTGCGCGCCGACTGCGAGAGCGCAGTGCAAGTTTTTGCATAAAATGTGTACACACAAAAGCGCGACACACGTCGTATGCGAGCAGAGAGGTGTGCGGGGCGGCGGCGCTCACTCCTGTCGGTTGGTCCGATGCGTGCTCGGAAGGCGGTGGTATCGCACTGAGCGAGTAGTTGTCGATGGCAAAGCTCGAGCCGAGCAGCGCGCTTGGTCTCTCAAGGCAGCAGCAGCAGCAGTAGCTCGCTCGCGGATCCCCGCTCGTCGCTTTCGAGCCGTCGTGTATATATCGCTGGCTGGCTGGCTGGCTGACTGCCTCGACTGCTATACACACTCAGTGAAGAGCGCCAGCGCGGTAGCTGTCACGTGCCTTTGCCTGTCAGTATACTGCCTGGCTGGCTGACTGCTGCTGCTCGCCTTGTGCCTCTATATGTTTGCAGCAGTGCTCTTACGTGTGTGTATATGCGACTCTCGTGTTTGTATACACACAAGCACGTATAGAAGAGCCTGTGTGTATGCGTTTTCGCATGTATATGCTACATGGAAGTGCGAGGCGAGCGAAAGAGAGAAGGAAGGAAAAAAACGTCGAGCGTAGCGACCAATCCCCGTCGTTCGTCAAACCTTGATTGGTCTCTCTCATTCGACTTGCTGCGCTTATGGAGCGATATACATACGAGCGAGGCAGATATATCCCTCAACCCTGGGCCGAGCGCGGGCCGAATGACTGATAAGAGGGGTGTGTACCTTTTACGCGATATACACTGAAACGGCGAACGAGTGAGCCGCACACAGCGTCGTGAAT